GACAGCGCTGGTTTAGAGTTTTATGTTTCAATTATGTTAACTTTCAATTTTCTTCTCATTTGATGATTTGTTGCAATTAGCAAAATATATGATTTTACTCACTATGTAGGCATTGAGTAGTAAATATTATATTGTCATATAACAGTGTTTTAGAATCTACAATTTAATCGAAACTACAGAATTAGTGGTTTAATTCCTGCTGTTCAATTGTTTTCTTGGTGCAAAAGTTGCCCACAAACAGCACTTGCACTACAGTGAGGAGATTTGTCTAGTTACTCAATCCAGACCAGATCATTGAATCTAGTGTCGTGGGAGAGTGGTGGCCTGCCACTTCTTTCAAGATGCATAGATTTGGGTCAAATGCAGTCCGGTGCAGTCTAGAACTACATATATATTTGTATCTGTGGTCCTGCCTCTTGCACAGTTGCAGATATGATACATGACCTGGGTTCCAACAGCTTTCTCTTTCAGTGTTTACATTAATCTGTATTTGACATGCATTGAAGAATTAAACCCACAGTAACCAACCAGACACCCATGTACCAATGGGACGAGCCTAAAAAAGGTTTGTTCAGCTCACCAAATCTACAGTATAAATATAATAATTCAAACTCGGTTGTATTTGCTTTTCTTTCTGTTTTTACAGTTCACACTGACATTTAATTTTTGGACTGGTAGATGTCTCACTACAAGGAACTGTCATTCTTTCTTACAGAAATGCTACAGTGGTACAATGGTATACTGGCCTGTGGCTTTTTGTTGCCAAAGCAGGCCGTTCTTTTTATGTAATGTGAAGGAAATTAATCATTTTAAATTCATCATAACTAACATTCCTTTTCCTTTCATTTATATGCTTTTGAGAACAAAATGAAGCAGCTTTAGTTGGTGTGTTGCAATAACGGATGTATATGGACAAGACAGCTAGACATCTGTCTGAATATAAAAATAACCAAAACAACCCATGACTTGAGTAAAAAGCTGAAGTAATCAAAAAACAAATTTGTTTTGCCAGTAAACGAGGGGAGGTTTGCTGAATTGCACATAAGAAGAGCCAGTTATATTAGAGCAGGGGTCTCCAAGCTTATTTCATTTCAGAGCTACTTTTTAAATCTGAAAGTGGCTGAGAGCTGTATTCATGTTTTACGTTAAGCTCCCACTGACATTTCTCCGGAGCACAGTGTTACAAGAAAGACTGTC